GCATACCCATTTTGGACAAGTTACTTGTGAAATTAGCAATCTCCAAGAATAGTTGAGCAAGTTACAGAATGGTCCATAATTGAATTCGGCTACTGGACGTCAGCGTCATATTGAATCCAGAATAAAAGAATTATTGGCTCGTGAAGAGGTAATGTGGTGTCAACAAGCTAGAATGCAATAGCTTAAAGAAAGGGATCAGAATATTGGCTTCTTGCACACCAAGGCTGATTTGCGACAAAAAAGAACCATATTGCTAAAATAGGAGATGACCCAGGGACTTGGTACCATGAAGATGCAGAGATACCTAAGGTCATGACCAAATACTTCCTGGACCTATTCTCTTCTTCCAACTTATCTGCTCCTATGGATATCTTGGATGCTGTAGAAACAAAGGTATCAGCGGAGATGAATGCCCACTTGTCTGCACCTTTCACTAGGGAGGAGATTGTTGTTGCTCTTAAACAAATGCACCCCTCAAAAACGTAGGGACATGATGGTATGCCTCCTTTCTGTTTTTCCAAATTTTTGGCACATTAAAAGTGATTCTACAGTTTAAAAAATATTAGCTATCCTTAATAATAACAAACAACAACATCCATAAATCACACGTTCATTACCCTAATCCCGAAAATTAAGAATCCAGAACACACCAAGAACCCTAATCCCGAAAATTAAGAATCCAGAACACACCAAGGATTTTAGGCCAATTAGTCTTTGCAATGTTTTGTTCATAATAATTACAAAAGCTATAGTTAATAGGCTTAAATCGTCCTCCCCCATATTATTAGTCCTTCACAATCTACTTTTGTCCTTGGTAGGTTGATCACAGATAATGCTTTCATGGGTTTTGAAATTTTTCATCAAATGAAAAATAGATCTAAAGGGATGAAAGGTCATTTTGCACTTAAATTGGATACGAGGCTTATGATAGGATTGAGTGGAATTTTCTTGCAAATACAATGTTAAAAATCAGGTTAACTCAACATTGGGTGGATCTTATTATGCGTTGTGTTTCAACTGTCTCATATGCTTTACTCATTAATTGTAAATCCCAATAAGTCTTCTATCTTAAGAGGAGACTTCGACAGGGTGATCCTTTATCTCTTTTTTTCTTTCATTCTGTGCAGAGGTTTTCTCAAATTTGATTTGGCGAGAGGAAGTGGAATACAAAATTCATGGATTCAAATTTACAGGAGCTCCATCGATTTCCCACCTGTTTTTTGCTGATGATAAACATTTTTTTTTTTTTTTGTCGAGCTTCCATTCAAGAGGCAAATATTGTGGTGAAAATCCTAGCAGATTATGAAGCGGCTTCCGGACAAAAAGTGAATTTGGACAAATCATAAATTTCTTTTAGTAGAAATGTCCCAAGTGATGTCAAAGTAAGCGTTTAACAACATTCTAAATATCTTGGTTTACCGGCTACGATTGAGAGAAAGAAGAAACATATGTTTAGCAATATTGCATTACAAAAAAACTGAAGGGATGGAAAGAGAAGACCCTATCAAAAGTAGGTAAAGAGATTCTTTTGAAAGCTATAATACAAGCTATTCCTACATATTCGTTGAGTTGCTTCCTGTTGCCGAAGGATATTTGCTTGCAAATTGAATCGTTGATGGCCAAATTCTAATGGGGACAGAAGAGGGATGAACGAAAATTGCATTGGGAAAGTGGTTGAAGTTGTGTCGACCTAAACAAAGCGATGGGGTCGACTTCAAAGATCCACAGTGTTTTAACATAGCCATGTTGGGAAAGCAATGTTGGCCACTGGCCTCTGATGAGATTTAAAGGCCACTACCGTCCCCGGAGTTCCTTCTTGGACGTAAAAATTGATTATCAGCCTAGTGTCGCATGGCGAAGTATCCTAGAAGCTCGGTGGCTTATCGGGAAGAGCTCTAAATGGTTAGTTGGTTGTAGTAACAAGATTCGAATGTGGAAAGGCAACTAGAGTCCTAATCAAGTCGGTTTGCGAACTTGCTCTGTTCCTTCTTTTTTCGATGACAATGCTTTTGTTCATGAGTTCATAGATCACAATGCTTTTACTTGGAGGTCCCCCTTATTCGAGCCATTTTTCTTCCCCAGGAAGCTGACGCAATATGTCGAATCCCTCTGTGTCGGAATCAAGGTTCGGATGCTCTGATGTGGTCTTTGACAAAATCAGGTATTTATTTTGTGAAAACTTCATATCAATTGGCTTTAACGTCGATTGACTCTGATGATGTTGCTGGTCCCTTGCACTCCCTTGAGAATGGGTTTTGGAAACCCATTTGGCAATAAAAGCTCTCCCAACTGATGCTTGAGTGGGACTTGAAGGAGGGGAAATGATCGCATGAGGGAGAGGGATCGACTGATCTTGCCCCTGACGTTGGAACCGCCAGTAACGGCGTGAATCGCTGGTGAATTGACAATATTATTAATTACAAACTAAATATTAATAATTACCTTGATTATATTTTGACCAATAATTATTAATTATTGGTATTAATATTAGTAATCATCAATACACTCTTATTGATGTTCTATAATAAGTGTGTACCTTTGTTATATGAGTAGTAGTGTCTATCTTGGATCAGTGATTTTTATCTATTACTTGTAATCTTGCAGCTGCAACGAAAGCAATTACATGGAAGATCTGATGAACAGTCATCCTCGCCAGGGATTCTCTCAAGAATTATATCAACGTTTTTCTTCTAAAAAATTTTAAAAAATTCTAAAGCTATTATACAGGATTTGTTATTTGGTATGAATCAAATTATGTGATTTTCAAATAAGCATAACGGAGTCGGAATATAAAATCTATCTAAATAAAATAAATAAGATATAAGGGTGTGCAAAAATATATTTTGATCTTTAAATATTCAATTACTCCAAATAATTTGATTTTTGGACACATAAAATAAATAAGGATAAAATATTATTATTAATCAAAACTTTAATTAAAATATATTCAGTTATTTTTATTCACAAATCAAAAATTTCTTGTACAAATAATAATATAATAATATTTCTTCAAAAAATATATATGTTAATATATGTTAATATTTCTTTAACATAATAATAACACCTGGGCGTGAAGCATGAAATAACAACTAGTTAATATATGTAATCTGTTTAATGGGAAAGCCTAAAATATGATTGAATTTTTCAGAAGATTTGGCACCTGTAATGTTTTTTTTTTTTTTTTTTTTTTTTTTTGTTTCAATGGAAAGCCTAAAAATATGATTTGAAATTTTTCAGAAGATTGGCAAACCGTATTTTTTTTTTTTTTTTTTTTTTTTTTTGAGTCATTTCCCACCTACTAATCAGCCAAAAGAATTGATTGGAATTTAATGGCAAATGAATTCTTTTGGTGATTATGAATAACAATTAATGATTATGATTCCGTAAAGAAATTAAAGAAAAACATGGTTGGCAAAATTAAAAATTTTACTTTTATTTTAGGATCGGATAATGAAATTGAAAACAAAAAACCTATTTTTATATTGAAATTCCTCCTTTTTCAATTAATTAAATAATTATTTTAATTTCCCTTTTTAATTGCTTGTTTCCATATATATATACTTTATTTTATTTTCTCTATTAATATATTTTATTAAATTCTTAACTTTACAAAATTGGTTTACATTTTTTTTAACAATATAATTTAGTAATAATATAAATTCTTAATTTTATCACACGTTGAATTTACTATCATATTTTATAGACAGTTTGGTGATCTTTTAACAAATTAAAAGAATTATCTATATTAGTTTAAAAAATAAAACTAATACTAAAAGAGACAATATTAGATTTTTTCACTTGAAGGTTATCTTGATACATATATAAATCTTTACAGTAGCAACTAATTCTTTAATTTATTTGAGCGACAAAATAACTTTTCTAAATCTTCTATATTCTCAAATTGATTTTTCAAAAACTTATTGTACATTATTTACACGAACGAGTTATCGTCATTATGCGTCAATAGAGAAACAAACACACTATGAAACTCCATTGATTAAATATACATATTTACAAATCAAGATCCAAATTCTATAGTCAAATAAAATCAAATATCATATATTTATTTAGTACTAAACTCTCATAAAGAAATAATCAAATCACTCATAAAAGAAGGGATAAAAAACTCTAGATCTGGTTGTAAATATGCCACCCTAGCAAGAACATGAGCAGCTCCATTTTCAGATCTATAAGCAAAAGCACATCTAGAATCAAGTAATATGATAATAATATTATTATTAATATAGTTACCATTATTGTATTAAATATAATTATATTTGCTTATTGATTCAAACTCTATAATTATAATTTGATTCTTGATTCAAAGAGGTATAAATTCATATTTAAATACGTACGTCAAACGTGGAGAGCGTGGCTTGAATTTTTTTTTTTAACTAGTTTTATTATTCATAAATATATAGGATTACTTAAAAATATCCCAAACTACTCCAATTATAAATGATAAAAGTACAAGAGATAATTATATTATAAAATATAATTTTTATTTCAATAAAACTCTACTTTATCGTTAATTGTTTTCAATTACAATCAATGATTTTTTAATTAAAGTCAAATTCTACAAAACATATTCTTTAAATATTTTCCACATAAAAAATAACAAATAAAAATATTACTCCTAGTTGCGAAAAAAAAAATCCTCAACCTGGATTAAACTTTTATAAAAAAACATTAATTGGCAATAAGAAAAGCTTACGTCACCGGAAATATGTTAAAAAACAAGCATAACTACAAACTGAATCTACATGAACTTCTATTTTCCGTCAGATTGATCAAGTCAACCCACTTGAACTCATCGAACGGTTCTAACCCAACAAAAACAAAGCTACGTCCTCTGTGTATACACGTCACAGTTTGTTTTCTAGAAGCTCTGTGTTGCCCTCTTGCATGAGAATCTCCGCTGGGGGAGACACATCTGTGGCAAATCTGTAATATTTTAGCAAAATAGGCCCATTTATAACCGTGATACTTATTTAAAGAATGCGTTGCATAACCAAACGCAACGAAAAAGCCAAAAGCTAAAAAGAAGCGTTTTAAAATTTCCTAGGAAGCGAAAAAAGAGAGAGATGGCAGCAGAGGAAGGACAAGTGATAGGTTGCCACACCGTTGAGGCATGGAACGAGCAGCTCCAGAAGGGAAATGAATCTAAGAAACTGGTATTGTATATATATAATTTATCTCTTTGCAATTGTTATTTCTTTTGTTATATTTCTTGTTTGATTTACAATTCCATTTTGTTAATTGGTGAAATTTTGTCAATATTTGTTTGATTTTAATTTATGATGAAATCCTTATTTCTTATTGAGCATTAAAGAAATATGAAGATAACTGTTTGTTTTACTGAATATAATTTAAAAAAAAAAATTTTTTTTGTGATTATTGTGTTTCTGGGCATATGGATATGTAAATTGTCGTTCAAAATTTTCTGGGAATATTTTTTAGATGGAGCGAAAATGATTTGTACCGGATTTTTGCTGTGAAAACGACATGAAGGTTCGGTTGATGATGATGGGATTTGGTCTTGGGCATCGTTTGATATGTGGAATTGATAAATTTTGTCCATGTTTGACCCTGTTGTCGGTCGTTCTTTTGCTATTTTATATTTAAAAGGTTTGTAAGCGTTTGGGGATTTGGATAGTGACTATTATACTTGTAGGCGGTGTGTTGGCTTTTTCAATTGCAAAGAAATCTGTAGGGCTTTTTTGGTAGAAATTTTATGGAACTTATTTACAAATCCACATATTTATATTTGGTATAAACTAAAATTCATTTAGAGTTTTTTACATTCTTAATCCAATGGAATTGGCTATTTATTTTAGCCAATACTTTCAAATTGATAGAATTTGCTAATGGGGTACAAGCTAGCAAATTTGCATATTTAAATGAATTACAATTATATGATAAATCCAAACATGAGCTTTCGTTTATAGATTAATTTTTTAAATGAAATGCATGTGCAAACGAAATGAATTTCATATGGATTTATTCGAAATATTTTTTTAATATAAATAAAGTTCAGTTCCGATTTAGTTCCTGAATTGTTATAACCTAAACACTAGATTCCTTTCAAATGTTATTTTGACTAAATTAACTAATGTTAGATCAAAGAGATGAAAGTGGATATAAATTTCAATCTTAGAGAGTGTTTTTGTAATTTTGTAATTTTTATGGCAAATGCAACAGGAGAATTCCATTTAAAACAAGTTGATGAAACAACTACAACTTAAACCACTTTCTGGGGTTTTCACTTTCTGAGGTTTTCATTTGTTGGTGCAACATGTTTTTTCTTTTTTAAAGCATTAAGTAACAAGAATAGTACGTTTCTAATAAGTTTTTTAAACCATTGGAAAACGAAAATAAAAAACCATAGGCATCATGGGGACCATTTGTGAAGGACAAGCATGCCTTATATTTTTTTATATTCAGTTTTGCAACATTTCTTCCATTAAAGAAAGCATTCCCACTTTGTTGCATATTCAGTGAATTAATAATCAAGAATTCAAAATATATTGTTTTTTGCTTGTGAAGAAATTAGCTTATTTGTAGAAACTGGAACAAACTATGCGTTGATTCTTTAATGAACATGGTTATTGCTGCCTTTAGTCTTCGCTTAGGTGTTTTGGCCTACATTATACAATCCCACACACTGTTAACTGAGTGACATTTGTGGCAGTTAAACAATTCTATTTCTATGAAACAAATACAAGAAGCATTACATTAAAGCAATAGATTAAGAAGAACGATAAGAATAATAACTTCTTTAGTGTATTTTTCTGTGAAGAATGCCAGACCCTCTACATTATGGTTGTATAATATCTTCCTATTTTAGTTTTATGGGTCCCAGAACATACGCAAAAGGGAACAGAATTTTCATCCAAGGCACTACTTTCTGTTGCTTCAATATCTCACGTTATAAGACCATTTGACCATGTTCGCGGGGCACAATGACTTGGATGGGGTTGAGATGGGGCAGGACATAAAATGCCCACCTCTATTTTCTCTCCCTTTAAATTAATATTAAGTACCATTTATTCGTACTTTTGGAGGTTTGCTGTCATTCTTAAGTATCTTAAATGACATCGTTGTTATATTTCTTTCTCATTGATTTAACTCTCTGGTTGATGATAGGTGGTGGTTGATTTTACTGCTTCATGGTGTGGACCATGCCGCTTCATTTCTCCTCTGTTGGCAGAGCTGGCCAAGAAATTGCCAAATGTTATCTTTCTAAAGGTGGATGTGGATGAATTGCAGGTAATGCAAAATTCCCAAAATAAGGGGAAAAAAATTTAAAAAAAGCCTCTGCATTATTAGTCACAAACTGTGCAAACAAAACTGTGATCAAATGCCTGATATACTTGATATGCGTGCTTGCAGACAGTTGCTCAGGATTGGGCTGTGGAGGCAATGCCAACTTTCATATTCCTGAAAGAGGGGAATATTTTGGACAAAATGTTGGGAGCAAATAAGGATGAACTGCAGCAGAAAATAGCAAAGCACTTGGCTACTTCTACTGCTACTGCTTCTGCTTGAAGCAAATAATTTCCTTGTGCTTTTATCATTGCTATTTGTAATTTGCGCCTTGAGTCACCTAGGCTAGGACTGGCTACCATGAGTTTATGGTCATTTCATAGTATCATGTTATAAAAGTTCTATTGCTGGTTTGCTTAATTATATGTGCTATATATAAACTTGTGTTTGGTTGACAAAATGTTCCATGCGTTCTTAGGGTTGTGCTTATTTAGATACTTGTAAGCTGCTTTAAATTGAGAGAGATGTTGATTGCTATTGCTAGTGGCTCTAGTTTGGATTGCCGAAGTCATGAATGAATGGTGTTCATCATTTCTAAGATCCACTAGATGGTTTGTATCTTGAGCATATTGAGGGAAATGGAATGAAATATTTAGATATGCAATGGCTCACATATTGGGGATATGCAATTTTGCATACAAGATTCATCCCCTTCGTGTTCTACTTCCCACTGGATGAGACGTTAGAGGCTGTTACCCTTGACATATTGGAGAGATATGGGAGAGTCTGGAAGCCATGCATATTTTGGGGTGGTTCTTGGAGGGAAAGCATTCAGGAACTAATTGGTTTGTCATTTGTAGGGTCGGCCATAGTTTCGGAACTGTCAATTCTAATCATATTTTTACGGAATTGAAATCGAACTGGAAATTGACGATTTAGTTTGAAATCAGCCAATTACGGTTCCAAGATCGACAAGTCGGAACGGTTTTCAGATAGCTTGTATAATTTAAAAATAAAAAAACTAGGGAATATTTTTTGTTCAAAATTTAAAATTTAAATAAGTATGAAATAATTTTGGAAAAAAATTTCAAGTGAAATTTAAAAAAAAAAAAAGAATTTGAATTTAATTAAAAATTGGAAAATTTATTCGATAATAATTAATTATAAATTGGAGAGCTCACAGAGATTTGATAAAAATTATCTTTAAAATCAGTTATCATACAGCCGTTTATAATTATTATATTAGGATGTTAATTTAGAGATTTGATAAAAACTTTTTACAAAATATTGTGCTAGAACCAGTTGGAATTACCGGTTGTAAGAGGTTATCAAAACCTCCGGTTCCAACCATTTATAACCATTTATTGAAACTGCCGTTCACAGTTCTAAAAAGCTTTTTTAGAACTTAGAACTGCAACCACGCGGTTCCAGTTCCAAAAATCAAATCTTGGCCACCCTAGTCATTTGTATGTTTTGTCATAGAGATTGAATTTATCCATTTGATCCAAAGATTAGGCTTGTAATGCAGAGGTTATTGCCTGCTTGTTAAGTGACTCTCCTGTGCATGTCTAGAAGATTGGAACTTTTTTTAGGAAGTGGGTGTAATCCATTTCATTGGACTAATCACAGGGATGTGCTATGCACACATTGTGCAACCTCTAAAATACATTTTAATGACAATTAACTGAAAGCTCCTTGAATTTAACCTCAAACTGCACATAAAATAAAATGATCATACTAGGATCCGCTCCTAACATGATCACTGGGGTTTGATTTTCACCTCATAAATACAAACAATAAAATAAAAAAACAAATCACTCAGGTAGCAAACTCCTCCCCAGTGTCCACATCCAACTAAAAGGGCTGAGGACTGGGGTTTTCCAATTCACCTTAGGCCCCAAATTGCAGGAACCCAGGAATTTTTCCATACTCACCTATCTAACGATCACTACTTTACACTAATCGAACTATTAAAATTACCTTTACCACCAAATACCTTTGGCCACAGCCTGTCCTCACTTTGGAAGTCTATGGAATTTCACCTGTCTAACTAAGAAAAACCTTTCCTTGTAATCTTTCCTGTTATTCCTTCTCTTGCTGGCACCGTATAGTTAAATTACTGGATGCAATAAAAATTAGCAGTTTATCGATTTCTTCCCAATAATTAACCTCTCCAATTTGTTGGAGCACAGACAGCTTCGACCGACAATCGCTTCAACACATTTGGACATGGGTCTTGTCCGAAGTTACTGTTTGATATGGTGACAGTACATCTCTGCTTTCCTACACATTTCTGTGAAATATGTAGAGGACAGTTAATAAACTGAATATGTTTATGAAATGGTAAAAACAAGAAAGTAACTTTATGCACCTTCTCTACAATAGCATATGAAGCAGGAGAATGGCACGGTCCTTGTTGGTAACTCCCACAAGTTCCTAAAGGAGTTCCAAAGCTTGCAAATTTGATGGCAGAAATGGATTGACCTAAACTGCACCGAATATGAACTTTTGGGCTGTGGAACTCTTCTGCTCTTCCATAGCTCTCAATGTGCCAATTCTTAATAGTTGGGTGAAACTCTGCCACCTCAGCACAAACACTGGTCATTGCTCTCTTCACAAGAGAAATTCTTGAGGGATTCCCTCCAAGTTCCTCAAAAACTACTAAGAGATTTTGGGTTGGCTTTAACCATGATCGAGGCACATGATACCTGGAAATTGAATTCTTGTTAAGGAACAAATTAATCTTTCCTAGTTCTTATAAAAAACTTTAGCATATCATTTGTCTGAGAGCGTTTACCACCGCTGCGTCGGTTGGCCACAACCAACTTGACACTTTGGAGGCCGAAATGATCCTGCATAGCTGCATCCATTGCAATTTCCAGTGGCATATGCAGTCCAGTATCTTCCTATACTCTGGCCATTAACCCATATCTGACCCTTTCCCATTCCCTCCATGTCCAAAGCCAATGGCTCATCTCCATCAGGTGCATTGAAATAGGCCTATAAAGTTAAAAGATTTAAGTTGGAATGTTCGACATAAACTATTGTTTCATGAAACGACCAGATATTGCATGCTTCATACCTTATGCCATGTCAATGGCTGCGGTTTTTGTGCAATTAATGATGCTTCAGTCCACCCGACTGAAGAAACACTATTTGGAGAAACTAAATTCATGGCCTCTCCTTTCAGCCCAACCTGATTGAATAAGATATAGCAATTAGGGCTTCTTTTTTTTGGAATGAAGGATAGACTAGATATGTAGAGAGGTCAGAATCTGCAACCTGGTATGTCCATTTTTGCCAGGACAAGTCCCATTTTCCCTGGTCAAGTCCATGCAGTGCAACTGGACCAAGGATTCCCATGTTCCATGTCTCAAAGTGTCCACCCACATTCTTCATATATTGAAGTACATTAATCAGAAATTTACTTGGAATTAAGAACAATAACAACTATTAAAATTACAGGTGAATAAATGATTCAGAAATTATAAAGGCAGAGAAGGGAACCTAACCTGCAATCCAACAGTTACACTTAGTAAGGCAATTTTGTTTTTTCCAGCACGCAAATTGACCTTCCCAGTATATGTAAACCTCCTATTCTTCCTTGTCCCAAATGCAGAACCTAGAATGACGTACTTAGTCAACTAAAAAGGGCAAAATGGAATCTATAAAAGGATACAATAGCAATTTTTTTATACCTGAAAGTTGTCCATTCACAAAGACATGGACAGCATGGCCTGCCGATCCAATAATGAGAGTCGGGAGCTCCCCCCCATGAAGGAAGGATTCAGATGAACCAATATCAACACTGTAGGCATATTGAGAAGTATGAGATGATAATAACTATTTGTATTTTCTACAGCTCTTGGAATCCAAAGATGAAATAAAATAAGACTCATCTCCATCGATGAAAACAAAAGCATGGCAAACAATCAACAAACATGCTAGAAATCTCCATGTGTCATACGTCAGATGATAGCTAGCCACTAAGGTAACCAATCTCACCTGGTGATGTACCACAAGTAATCACTGGCATCCCTTGTAACATTTATCTGCTCCAAGAGACCGAGAGTTGTGAATGTTGAGCTATCATACAAAGAAGAAATATCCTCATCATAACTCTCCCATGAGAGCATCTCAGCATTTGTTGGCAACATTTCCATTTGAGAGGTTTGGACTCCAACCTGCAAAGAAACAGAACGAAAGCTGAGGATGGGAAATAAATCGTCCCTTGAAAGTTTATAGTCTTTTTTCTCCTTTTCTTTTGTTTAGGAGCCTGAGCTTCAAATAGCACACAACTAGATCCTGTCAAGATTCGTTACATAACTAATATACCTTTGCAGTGTTAAAGACAACATTTCTGCAGTCTGGAAGGATACTGATGGACCAAGGAGGCAAGTTATAGTGCATGTTATTGAACAAAATCCTTGCAGCAGATTTTGTATCATAGTTTGCAAGAAAAGCTGCACAATCTCCCGATTCTGAGGAGTACACATGAGCCTGGGAAATATTCGGTATTGACAGAAATTAGTATAACAAAGCATATTAAATAACTCGTTGAACAAAATATACATTGGAGTAGAGAAAACCTGTTGGTAACTCCCTAATTGTGTTACAATAGGATCAGCTGTTACTAAAGCTCGCTCACACATCTTAATAGACCTATGGAGCTCCTTTAGATGACCATGCTTTGGTTGCCTGATTAAACCTGTCAAATTTAATTTAGCAAAAGAAATGAGGTTTATTTCCACAAGGAAAAATTAATCGTCATCTACAAATAGCTCTTCTCCTACAATGGTAACCTACTAAGTGTCCCTAAAAGCTTATTTAAATTGATTTGCTTCATGATGCAATTCTTTGGGTTTTAAGAAACCATTCTCCAGCCTTACCATATTCATCAATCGGAGCATCATAATCATAACTCGTAGTAATGAAGGGACCTCCAGCACTGCGACCAAAATTAGTCCCACCATGGTACTGTTTCACATGACCCGAGAAATTAGTTTAACCAAAACAGAACTTAATACAAACTGTTTTCCATACTTTAGAAAAGAAACTGACCATGTAGTAATTAACAAATGATCCTCCTTTCTGTATGAATCGAGCAACAGCAAATGCCAAATCCTGAACTGGACGCTGGTGAATTGGACCACCAAACTCTGAGAACCTTCACAATTTCATTCAAAAGAAAAAAAATTAGGTAAAATCTCAAATTTGTTTTAAATTAATGAAAATTTAAATGATAGCCAAGCAAAACACACAAAGGCATACCATCCACTCCAAGCCTCGGTCCAAATTGTAGGCTTGTAAGGTTTGTTGGGGGAGAACGAATCACAGTAAAACCCATTACATGTGTTTATCTATAATTGAAGAAAATGTAAAGAATTACAAAATTCAGTAATATTAACCACTAAAGAGCCAACAAAATGCAAACAGGAGCTCCATCTTTACTAGTTGGTCATGTTTGAAACTACTTACCACTGGATCTGGAGCATCTTCTTCCTTGCACATTACCCAGGGGACTCCAGTTCCTGTTTGAACAGCCATATTTGCTGCCCAAGTCATATAATTATAACCAGCAGCACCAAGTAACTTACTTTGTGACCCATACTCATTCTCGATCTACATGTTGAGAAAATTAAATTAAAAGATCTACACATTTACTGGAAAGATTGAAACAAAAAAAAAAAAAAGGAAAGAATAATGTAATCAATGTATTAAGTGCATTAAGTAATTAAATCTTTTTTTTTTTCTTATCTTTTACTACAAAGTCATTGACACATATAAGCCTTTGCACTCATCAAGATAAATTAGCTGAGTAAATTAGCAAACATAATATGGCAGAAAAAATAGGAATAAATAAGAAATTAAAACTAAAATATCAAATATTCTTAGAGCATATATACCTGAGAGAGTATAATGGGGCCACCTTGAGACTCAAACAAATGCTCACTCTTCATCATCCCAACAATCTTCTCTGTAAACCCTTGCATTGCTCTCTGCAACATCATAAAAAATATTAAAAACCCAAGATTTTACTTAAATTGCACTCATTCTGCTTTGAGCTATTATATTATTCAATTCAGAGGAACATAATTTAAAAAAAAAAAAATGACCTTGAAAGGCTCATTGTCTGTTCTGAAGCTGATGCCTGGGACATACTTCAACCAGACAGGAAAACCTCTGGAAATAAACATAATATAGCAAATTAGCAACAAGTACAGTATGAAACAAAAGCTAAGAAAATAAAAAACAGAAACAGAAAAACCCAGTTGCCAAAGAACCAAAATGAGAAAGAGAAGCAGCAATAGATCCAAAAAACTAGAAAAAAAAATGGTAAAATACCCAAAATTCCACTCTGCACAAACATAAGGTCCAATGCGAAGATGAGCATAGAGACCAGCTTTCTGTATTAACTTTATGAACCTCACCAGATCATATCTCCCTTCAAAATTATACTACAAAACCCACAAAAGAAACACAATTTACAAGAAAATAAAAAAATAAAATCCAAAACAATTAAAAAAGAAAACAGAAACACGCACAAAGAGGGTACATAAAAATTACATTTCCTTGAGTAGGCTCATGCACATTCCAGAAAACATAAGTCTCAATCACATCCAATCCTCCATCTTTTGCCTTTTGTATCAGATCTTCCCACATCTAAAGAATCCCCATTTTCTCAAGAAAATTAGAAAAAACCCACTTAAAAAATAAATGAACTACAAAGAAATTAAAATTAAAAAAACTGGGTTAAGCAACTTATAGCATACATCAGGAGTGCTTCTTGGATAATGAATGGAACCAGAAAAAAGAATTCTTCTTTGGCCATTAATCAAAATTGCCTTTCTGTCATATGTTACAGTACACTGGATCAGCTCACAACCCAAACACAAAACCAAGAAAGCCAACAAACTTAATGACTTGGAAACTGGTATAGTTCCCATTCTTGATTTTTCCCTTTACTTCTTCTCAATAGCCTCTCTCTAACAGTGTAAAACCAAGAAAAGGAAGTAGAGAGAGACAGAGAGAGAAAAGGGAATTTGTAGTTGTGGGTGAACAATAACTAGTTTCAGACTCTGAGCTTAGAAGCTGAAAGCACCATTTTATATATACATAGAAACTAAGTAATGTGTGTACAGCTATTCACTCACAGTTCACATATGTCAAGAGTCTTCACTGCGTGGCTGTTAACGACTATAAAATTAAGAAACTGACAGAAAAGGAAAAAGAGGGAATTGCAACAGTAAATCTAACAAGCTTTTTCTTTTTCTGTTTTTTATCATTTTATTTTATTTTCTTATTACCCTGGACACTATGCTCTGTCGGAGGGAAATACCGCGATGTCTTTTGATAATATCAGTAATCTTCCTCTTTTAATTTGTAAAATCAGTGAAAATATTTTTAGTCCAGGCGACTTAAATTCGTAATTTTTATTTTTTATACAGATAAAAAAATTAATCAGACTATACTTAATTTACTGAATTTTAAATATTTAATCAGAATTAATTAGTACATACTAATAGAATCTCGAAAGGGTAAAGTGTTATTTGGAGGCTAATTTTGTGATGAGGGTATCTGGCTTTTTATAATATTAAACATTGCATTAAAAGTAGAGAAGCAGAATATAAAATAGCAATAAAAGTTGGTAAAAACAGAAATGGCTACTTGTCACTGTTATTAAATGCATTATGATTAGTGAACTGTGACCGTGACTGATTACCCATTAGCAAATACTACTGGGTAAGCTTGACCTGTAATTGTTGATCTTGACCAGGGGTATTCTAGTAATTGAGTTAAAGTGAGGCACTGCAGCAAGTAGAGAATGCCTGATTTTGGTGCTTTTCTCCGAGGCATTTTCCTTCAGATACAAAAGGCCCACAATGAAAGTTTCCATGTGATCCAAAGAAGGCTCCCATGAGACACACCTTCTCCTTTTTATCATTTTCCAAAATTATTTATTATTATTATTATTATTATTATCATCATATAATTTAAAAATGAAATAATATCACAAGACAACTTTTATATATTCTATTAAATACTTTTTTTTTTATCTAGCCACAAATAGAACGTTTATGCTATGTGGTTTATAAACGAGGGGAAAAAAAATCTCGTTTAACACACTTGTGGTAGTGGAGATATTTTTTCTAGGTTCAATAAATAATTTTAAAAAAAAATAAATTTTAATTGATAAAGTAGAAAGCCAGTTGATTTATCAATTGAGCTGATCTTTAAAATTATGTTACTATTATTATTATATAATTTAAAAATAAAATAATATAACAATGTACCTTGTATATATTCTATTAAATATATTTTCTTTTTTCTAGACACAAATAGAACATTTATATTATGAGATTTATAAATGAGAAAAAAAAAATCTCATTTAACATCTGGTCTCAAAAATAAAATTCTAATCCATAAAGTGGAAGGCCAATTGATTTACAGATTGAGCCAATCTTTAAAATTATATTATTATTATTATTATTATTATTATTATTATTTACAAGTGCTTGTTTTTCTAAAATGAGACGATCCATTTGCCAAATTTCATGTCTCTGACTTTCTTTTTTTCAGTAGATCTCTTTTATGTCTACTATTCAAGAATTCTAAATAGAGACAACAGTCTACCTGTCATTCAAAATCAAGATAGAAAACAATTCATTGTTCTTTCAATTCTTTGTATTGTACCCTTTCTAACACACTGCAAAAAGTGTTATCTCCACCCAATCTAATTCCTCTGCTCTATATATTATTCAGCAAAGATGGAGTATTGGATTCTCCTTCTCATCTTAATTAGGCCAGCTTTTGCTTTGTAAGCAAAAGAATTCATACCTAAACGTTTTTTGGCATGCCATATTCCTAGCTTGATTACAAAGTGGGGGCTGCATAATACTAATGCCTCCTTTACATTAATAAAATAGCATATGGCAAACTTTTAATAATCACAATCTCATGTGCCTAATTCAGCTTAATTAGTAATTACTGTTAAATTAGCAGGGGTATTTTAGGATATATACTTCGCTCTAAAATGTACATTGAACGTATTTGATCATTAGTATTTATGGGTACATTAACTATTATTAGTAAAAAAATGTACTTTAAACAAATTCGTATTAGATAATTTACAATTTGCTGATACTTTACCAATTTAAGAAGAATCTTAAATGGATTTATAATGGGTACAAGTAGTAAAATTTTAAATGAATTTGAACCGAAGTACTTATATGAGTGTTTAAATAGATTTTGGAAGGATTGAAGTAGTAAAATCTTAACTAGATATAGTTACGATGATTCAAAATTTACGCATACGCTCTGTGGCTTCTACCCTACCTTAGATGGGGATGTACATGTGGCCAGTTCACTTAATTGGCAATTTCAGGTTGATGAAATTTAGATTTGAGCGGAGCATAATCAGTTCTTTCAGTTCTAGACTTCTGGATCGAGCAATTTTAAGATTTTTTTTTTTAAATAGGTATTTAAATAAAGAATTTTTCAATTTTATTTATAAATTTGAAATTTTCTTTATTTAAATACTTATATAAAAAAATTTAAATACTAAATAAAAAAATTTAATTAAAAATATAAAAAAAATAAAAGTGAAATGAGATTAGTGATATATAATTAAGATAGTTTAAAAAACTCATTTGAAAATAGATCCAGTCTCAAATATGTATCATTTGAGCAAGGATTTGACTGTCCGCCTGCAGCATTGCTTTCGTGAAGCCAACCATAGGGCAGATGGCCTGGCTAATCTTGTTATCTTGGGTGATCCAGGCAAGCTTATTCTCTCCCAACCTCCGGTTCAAGTGCTCCAGTTCCTAAACTGGGATATACAGGGCATCAGCTGGCCTCGTCTAGGGCCTAGTTTATCTTAGTCTGTTTCTTTTGAAGCTGTCTTCCTTCCAATGTATATATAAAAAAAAAATGTTGAATACATAATTTAAACCCAAGAACTTTGATTAAAAAAAAAAAAAATCCTTCTACCATCCAACTTTTTTTTTTACATTGTGGCACTCTAAATTTTATTTTTTATAATAATCTGACACATTTTTATACTAAAAAAAATTAATTTTAAGGTTTTTAGCTTTTATATGTAAAAACATTTATTTGCTATGCGGTTAATATACTTTTTGGAAAGATAATTTTTATATTTTTTAATTATCTAATAAATTTTTAATCAATCTAATTTTATAAATTGAGATGTTTAATAAGTCAAATAAAGTATTTATAAAGTTTAATTTTATAAGTTAAATTTCAATAGATCAAAGTAAAAATTGAGGGTATAATGAGAATTTTTTTGTGAAAAATACACGAAGAAGTCATTCAAAAAATTAAAAAAAAAAAAAACATTTGGCACGTTATATTGAAAGGAGTGTAATGAGGGAAGTGAGGGTTTGAATCTTTGTTGTTTAGTTGTTTGTAAGTTAGACCATATCTTTGTACCCTTCAATTCATCAATGGCGTGAAGGACGGAACAAAGTGGTGGAAACCCTAAAACAGTGGGGCCTCAGTCGCATTCCTCCCGCTAAATCTGACCTGACCACTTTAATTGGTCACCCACTCCTCACCGGAGATTAAGCTTTTGTTTATTTTAATTAGGTCATATTGATTATTCATGTCCTCCATTCATCAATACCTAATTAATAATTAATTAATTAATTACGCTAATACATATTTTTAAGTTGACTAAGATCATCACTTGCAGTCAAAAGATTTGTGTTTGCCCACAAGGGCACATGCATTGCCACTTTGACCTTGTTAACCCTAATTCTAGTTATTATTAGTTAATAACAAAGTTAGAGCCATAATAATACTTAATACATAGTGAGAGTGAATGAATAAAAAAATAATTAATAGTGAGAGTGATTTGCACAAAGTCTAAATCCAAATTTTCTTTTAAAAATATAACTCATTACAAATAATATAAAGAATTACAAATATTCATATATACTCATGTAGTAAAATAACTAATAGAGTTCGTTGAACTTTTAATGAAACAAAGAAATTTATATCTCTTTGAATGATGATACTTAAACTAAAAGAAATATAATATTATATTTTTCCGTTTGAAGTTAATCTTGATAAAAGATATACATATTTATAGCAGCAACTAATCCGTTAGAGATAAAATACTAACTTCGCTAGATCTTCTGTACCTAGATTATTTTTTGAAGAATTTGCAACATATAACGAATACAGATGAGTTTCTACCACTATGCATTAATAGCATCAATGGAGAAACATACTGCACCACCAGACTCCATTGATAGAAAATCCGCACTTGAAAATTAAGATCTAAAGTCTCCAACCAAATTAAGTCAAATATATATTTTTATTTAGTAATAACCCTCACAAAGAAGGGATAAAAAACTTCAAATATGAAGACAAAGCAACAATAATAAAGACAAACTAAAAAGACAGATCTGTTATAGAAAAAACATATCTAAGTTTATTAAAGTGAATAAAAGATTAAAAGAAAAAAATATAAACCAAAAGAAAGAGCAATAGGTAGAGGGAAACCGCTGATAAACAGTAACAGCACCAAACTAAATTATATTTGTAATTGGCGTATTCTTCATATTTTTTAAATGGACAATTCATTGGTATATAATTACATTTTTTTTTAGTTTTTTTTAAACTAATAATATAAATTCTATTGGATAAACTAAAAAATTATATTAATATATTAAATGAGGTATATTTTAAATGGATTACATTAGCCTAGACAGAGTTCATCCACGTATGGATCAAGCCAATAAAAATAAAAAACTTTTTAAAAATTATTTCTACTTTATCAATTTTTTTTTCTAAGTGTATGGTCAAAAATATCTTTGTTTCAATAAAAAAAAAAAAAACTCCTACTTTTATTGGTATAGTTCATGAATGAGGTCATGGATTCGATCTAGACAAGTCAATCTCATTTTAAATATGATAATTTTATAAAAAATAAAAATAATTTTAGTTCTGATAAGTAAATTAATTGATTTTCAAACTCTAATATATTTCCTTTTAAATCCATTGTGGGATTCTGTATCACCCTTAAGAACCTCATTCTAGCTAGCAGCTTTTAAGATGTGAATGTTAAAAAATTTTGTTTAAAAAGGAATAAATTATGGCAAAAACAAAAAGGAATGATATTTTTAAGAATAATTAGTGCAGCTATT